ACTGCAACCGTCATAAAGTGAGTCAGTTGTTAAGCATCCAAATGTAAATCATATGACCACAAGGATGCTATAATGGTCGTAAGTGTGAAAAATTGTCACTTTTTTCAGTGCTGTTGTAACTTTGAATGGTCACTAAATAAATGGTTGTAAGTCAAGGACTAAGCCAGTGGTGGCAAACCTATGGCACGCGTGCCAGAGGCGGCACTCAGAGCCCTCTCTGTGGGCACGCGTGCCATGCCCACAGAGATGGCAACCATCCCTCTTCAACCAACTGCCCGCTAACTCGCCGAGGTCCCACATGGCCGGATGCATCCCAGCATGGCTGGTTTCCCTCCCCCCCATCCCATTCCTCTTGGCCTCGCATGCTCTCCTTTTCCCGGGCACGACCCACTGCATCACCTCCTCAGCTGTCGGCCGGGTGTCGAGCTCAGAGGTGGCTTCTCTGAACTGCTGGCAGCGGGCTGCGGAGCCCTAGAGTGCGCTGGTCGAGGGGCCGGCAAGCTGTGGCTGCTGACAGACACATCGCCCCCCACGTGCTCGCTGGCCTCTGTGTGCGGGGGCCGATGGTGTCGGGCAGCAGCTGCCCCAGCCCCTGCCTCGTCTTGCCGTGCAACAAGGGCACCCCTGCCCTGCCTCACCTTGCCTCACCTCACCCTGTAGGACGAGCCTCCTGCCCACCACCCCACCTGCCAGAGACCCCCTGGATCTCACAGGTGTCCCTCCCCACAAACAACATCAAGGTGACCACGCCCACCTTGGCCACCACCCCCCAGTCTGCCATGACCATCACAGCTACACCCACCCAGTGGGCCACGCCTACCTGGCACCGGCGATAAATAAGTGGGTTTTGGGTTGAAGTTTGGGCACTCGGTCTCTAAAAGGTTTGCCATCACTGGACTAAGCTGTATGTTGGGATGAGGTGATCCTTTGCTAAAGAATCGACATCATCTTGGTTCTGTCGCCGGGACTATCTGTTCACATGAATCCTTTCAACAACAGTTGCTTATGAAAAAAACATGACTTACATAGATACATTTGGCATAAATTCTACCCAAATCTTGCACAGTACACACTTGAAATTTAAGCATCACTCTTGGGTTATTTGCTGTTTTTTAACAAGGGAATTGGGCCCTTCCACAAGTAGCATTTTTTCAAAGCTGGAAAATAGAAAGGGTTATAGAATTCTGCCTTACCATTAATGTTATTTTGAATTTTAGTGACATTCCGAACAAGGCTCTCTGCTAGCTGGAAGGTCTCCTGGGTAACATCCATCAGACTGTTTGCTTTTCTGTGGGTCATTGTTGCCTAAAAACAACATTGTCGGTTTAGATCACATAGAAAGGCACAGAGGCAGGCCAACCATTTGCAAGAATTGGGGAGTTTGCTTAAAGGCAGTCGTTGAGTTCAATTTAATTTCTTTTAAAGGTTAATTTAAGATCACATTGTTGTCGCAGATACAGAGATATCATAAAGTAATATTTTAAAAAGCGATTTGGGTCACGCTGATGGCCCACATAATGGCCTTTAGATTCCTGGTGCAATCGGAAGAAATGTGGCTAAAACGTTAAGCCACCAAAGCTGTCTGAACATGCCATGTTCTCTTCACTCAGTTCTTTGGGTATGATAATTTCTCTCTTGCCTAATATGAGCAGCAGTTTTGACAATGAGATGAATCACTAAAGGAGACGGAGGGCCCATCAACCAGGAGACTATGAATTCTATTCCTGCCTTAGGCATGAAAGTTGTCTGGGTGACCTTGGGCCAGATTCTCTCAGCCCAACCCATCTGAAAGGGTTGCTGTTATGGGGAAAATAGGAGGAAATATTGCAATAGTGGCGAATATCTGTAGCTCGGGTATAGGATGAGGGTGACAGTCCATTCTCTGAGCTCGTGGGTTGGTTTCCGAACGTTTCATTACCAGGCTGGGTAACATCTTCAGTGGAGTTTAGGAGGGATGTCAGTGATCTTCTGTTTATAAGAGCTTCAGGTGTGGGTGTGTCAAATGATTGGTCAGGTGGGAGTCACCAGTGAGGGTCTTGTGATGGGTCTTGTGATGGGGAGGCTACATCTGGTCAGGGTCCTTGGGAGGTGAACTGCTGGAGGGGGAGAGAGGGGGGGCTTGCGTGGGCTGGTTGAGGGTCAGTGCTGTCCCTGGTTGGCTGTGCAGTTGATTTGGATCCTGAGGGGTTCGTAGGCTGGTTGTAGGTCACTGTGTCTGTGGATGGAACTGCTTGTGGAGTGCCACGCTTCGATGAACTGACGAGCGAGGCGGGTGGTAGCGTGGCCGATGATTTTTGTGTTGCTCCAGTCAAACTGGTGCTGTTTGGTGTTGGTGTGGGTGGAGATTAAGGATTAAGGAGGATGTATTTCATATGTTCACCACCTTGAGTGAACTTATAAAAGTAATAAAGGTGGGATAAAAATCTATCAAATAAATGAATAAATAAGGATTTCTCCCTCCAGAAAAAGAGAAGTGCAGGCACGCAAGATCTTGCAATTCATTGCTTGACAATGCTTAAATAATCAGCTTTATCTTCCCCATATCATAAATTCAGGTGCGATTATATCTGGTGAATGAGGAAGATATTCCTAGCTATTTTCACATGTAGGTTTTAAAGTGAAGCATTGACTTCTGAAAGTAGAAGAGAAAGATCTCTGTCACAAGCAACATTAAGCTTGTCCAGACAGTTACCAGATGACTTTACTAAAGCATCTTCTACATTCTGCCATTGTATCAGTTGTAATAGAGGCAGTCCCCGGCTTATGACCACAGCTGAGCCCAAACTTTCTGTTGGTAAGTGAGATAGTTGTTAAGTGAGTTTTGTTCCATTTTACGACCTTTCTTGCCACAGTTGTTAAGGCAGGGGTAGGCAACCTTGGCTCTTTTATGACTCGTGGACTTCAATTCCCAGAATTCCTGAGCCAGTCATGCTGAGGGGAAAGGGAGAGGTTTCCAAGCTGAGCCATGCTGGCTCAGGAATTCTGGGAGTTGAAGTTCACGAGTCATAAAAGAGCCAAGGTTGCCTACCCCTGTGTTAAGGGAATCACTGCAGTTGCTAAGTTAGTAACATGATAAAATCAGTAGTGGGATTCAAATACCTGAACAAGCGGTTCTCTGCGTGGATGCAGGCCTGGGCCTCTGAGGCCTAGAATGGACTTCCGGAAGTGACATCCATGCACTTCCTGTGGGCCGTTCTAGACCTGGTAGGCCTCCTCCAGGCCTAGAACAGATTTCTGGAAGTGACATTCACGCATTTCCTGTGGGCCGTTCTAGGCCTGGGAGGCATCCTCTAGGCCTCTGAGGCCTAGAACGGACTTCCGGAAGTGACATCAATGCACTTCCGGTGGGCCGTTCTAGGCCTGGGAAACCTCCTCCAGGCCTCCCAGGCCTAGAACAGACTTCTGGAAGCAGTGTGGTTTCAGCCAGTTCTCCGAAAATTTAGCTACCGGTTCTACCGAACCTGTGCGAACCGGCTTAATCCCACCACTGGGTAAAATGAATCTGGCTTCCCCACTGCCTTTGCTTATAAGAAGATCGCAAAAGGGGATCACATAACCCGGGGACACCGCAAGCATCATAAATATGAACCAGTTGCCAAACGTCTGAATTTTGATCTCGTGATCTTAGGGGCGCCGCAACGGTCATAAGTGTGAAAAATGATCATGTCCCTTTTTTCGGTGCCATTGTAGCTTCAAATGGTCACGAAATGAACTATTGTAAGTCGAGGACTACCTGTACAAATGTAGGAAAAGGAAAGGGGAAAAAATATGTTGCACCTTGTGCTGAAGTGCATTCAGATCCTGAACAAAATCCGCGTTCTCCTCTTCCAGCTCATCAGCATTTTGCCTCACTTTGTATATAAACCTCTGATAGTCGCGCACTTGACTCTGTAAGGAAAAAAAGCAAGTGCAAAGTAAATCTAGAATTTTGTGGAGCAGTTGGAAGAGGAATAATTAGCTGGAAAGCTCCACATACGGTAATGGTTTGCATAGAGCCGTTGATGCTGTGCAGGCGGGCCCAGGCAATTGAGGTGGTGTTGAGACTTTTCAGCTGATGTTCGAGGGCAGGGAAGTCGCTGTCAATCTTCTGGAGATCTTCTAACAGGAGCAGCACACAGCTATCACAAGCTGTTAATGAGAGAGGAAAGTAAGCCATCATAGACTGTCCCGAAGGTGTCTTTCCAAAAGTCAACTGAACTTTTTTGATTTTTTTCCCCTTGAAGATGTTTCGCTTCTCATCCAAGGAGCTTCTTCAGTTCCAACTGACAGGTGGAGAATGGAAGGGTTTATATTCTTGAGAGAGCTAATGACCAACAAATAGGAAGCGCAGTTACAGGAGTTGGGTATGTCTAGTCTAATGAAAAGAAGGACTAGGGGAGACATGATAGCAGTGTTCCAGTATTTGTGGGGCTCCTACAAAGATGAGGGGGGGTCAATCTATTTTCCAAAGCACCAAAAGGCAAAACAAGAAACAATGGATGAAAATTAACCAAGGAGAGAAGCAATCTAGAACTAAGGAAAAGTTTTCTAAGGGGGAGAGCAATCAACCAATGGAATAGCTTGCCTTCAAGATGTTGTGGATGCTCCATCACTGAAGGCTTTCAAAAAGAGACTGGACAACCATTTATCTGAAGCCCCTCAAATAGTGGGTCTCCTGCTGGAGCAGGGGGTTGGACTAGAAGACCTCCAAGGTCCCTTCCAACTCTATTATTCTGGTTCTATGTTCTACCTATCAGAGTGCTAATGACCGGATGACTGCAAAGAATATAAATCCTTCCATTCCCCACCCATCAGTTAGAACTGAACAAGCTTCTTGGATGAGAATCAAAATGTTTTCAAGGAAAAAAGAAAACCAATAAAAGTCCAGTTGCCTTTTGGAAAAGCACCTCTGGGATAAGCCATAGGACAGCTGATATAAATAGGATCAAGATGAAGCTACTGTAATTGTGGAGTGCTTGGTGCTCTCCCAGCTTGGTTGTTTTCTTGCAGACATTTCATGGATAATGAAATGACTGCACGAAAACAGCCAACCTGAGACCCCACAGTTCAACCCTGACCTAACAAATATTCTCTTCTATTGATAAACCAAAATTTCAGCAGTCCATATTTTCAGGAAGAACTATAGAAGCAAGACTACATTATTAACACACCGAGCTAACCACTTATCTACAGTTGCCTAATCATTCTGACAACCCTCATAAAATTTCTCGAACCCACTCAGCACCTGGACCCAAGTGAAAGCATTACTAGATACATGAGTCATTCTCAGTTTGGCTAGCAGGACAGATAGGACTGGGATTCCTGCAATCGACATTAGCCAGTATGGAGAATTACAGAAAGACCCCCAAAACAGACAATAGCTGGGACCAAGGCACTGAAGGAAAGAAGAAGCCTAACCTTCACATCTCATGTTGTCTGGACCATCCACCACCGGGATCTCATGTTTTTTTATACATGTGTCACATTGCTTCCCTGTCAGGCCGTTGGTACAGGTGCATTCACCTGTGCGTGGGTTGCAGGAACCTCCTTTACACTGGCATTCTGTTGAGAGAACATCGAAGAGCAAAGATTTACAAGCAGGATTCCACCAGTGTGGAATTATCTCCATGCATCATCAGAGGTTCGACACTCACAACATGTGGATAGAAAAATTTTCCCTGCCTGGTGGAAAAACCATCTGAATTTGATCTGCTTTGTGCGATATGGACAACAATGAACTGAATTCCCACTAGTCATGATAGATCAGTGGTGGCGAACCTATGGCATGCGTGCCAGAGGCAGCACTCGGAGCCCTCTCTGTGGGCACACATGCCGCTGCCCCAGCCTTGCCTTCCCCCGCGACCCCCTCCTCTCCAGCAGCCCCCCTGGAGGAGAGTCACCCCCGAGCGTGGCCCATGTGGAGCAGCACAGCCAAGGACATGGCAGCCAGGCAGTATGGATAAGACTCTGCCCTACACCTCATCGCGCACAGTTGATGCTGCGGGGCGCAGGCAGAGGGCGTGGCCGCCATGTTGCTACTGGGCTGCCTGGGCAATCTGTGGCGGGCCCTGGAGGTGGTGAGTGGCCCTGCGGGCAGGCAGGGCAGGGGACGGGGTGGGGGCGGGGCAGGGGTGGAGTGGGGCGGGGCCAGTTTTTGGGCACTCGGTCTCTAAAAGGTTCGCCGTCACTGTTCTATTCTATTCTATTCTGTTCTATTCTGTTCTGTTCTGTTCTGTGCTGTCCTATTCTATTCTACAATCTGTTTATTCTATTCTATTCTATTCTATTCTATTCTATTCTATTCTATTCTATTCTATTCTATTCTATTCTATTCTCTCACTGAGGTAAAACAGACTACTTGCACCATAAAACATATTCTCTTGGAACTAGTAGGGAGGAGCCGTTTTTACCCTCTTTCTCTCACACTTATTATCTAGACTGCTGTGTTTCTTGCTCTTCTGGAATTCAATCCTCCCCTCCTGGGAATCCAGACTACACATTCCCTACATTTTTGTATCAAAGTACGGGTATGTAAAGGCTTTGGTGTTTTGGCCATTGGACTAATAAATTAATCCTGCTGCCCTACCAGTAGTCTTCAACTTACAATTACAACTAAGCCCAAAATTTCAGTTGCTAAGCAAGAAAGCTGTTAAGTGAGCCACGTCCCATTTTACGACCATTTTGCCAGAATGTTAAGCGAATCACTACAACGGTTATGTGAATCCCAAGATCGCTAAGTGAATCTGGTTTCTCCCACTGACTTGGTTTGTCAGAAGCTCCCTAAGGTTGCAGATAACAATTCCAGGACCCCGGGATGCTACAATCACCGTAAACACATGCCACCGTTTGATTATGTGACTGCAGGGATGCTGCAACAATGTGAAAATTGGTTCTAAGTCACTTTTTTCACCACCACTGAAACTTTGGAGGGTCACTAAACAAATAGTTGTATGTCGAGAACTATTTGTTGTTGTTGTTGTTAGTTGCGAAGTCGTGTCCAACCCATCGCGACCCCATGGACAACGTTCCTCCTGGCCTTCCTGTCCTCTGCCACCTTCTGGAGTCCATTTAAGCTCATGCCTACTGCTTCAGTGACTCCATCCAGCCACCTCATTCTCTGTCGTCCCCTTCTTCTATTGTCCTCAATCTTTCCCAGCATTAGGGTCTTCTCCAGTGAGTCCTTCCTTCTCATTAGGTGACCAAAGTACTTGAGTTTCAACTTCAGGATCTGGCCTTCTAAAGAGCAGTCGGGGTTGATCTCCTCTAGGACTGACCGGTTTGATCGCCTTGCAGTCCAGGGGACTCGCAGGAGTCTTCTCCAGCACCGTAGTTCAAAGGCCTCCATTCTTTTGCACTCAGCCTTTCTTATAGTCCAACTTTCACAGCCATACATTGCAACTGGGAAAACCATGGCCTTGGCTATACGCACTTTTGTTGGCAGGGTGATGTCTCTGCCGAACTATTTGTACTTGCAACAAATTGAGCTTGCTTGACAATAATAGAGAAGAAATTCTTCTTCAGGGCGTTAGATAGCAATGAGCAGATATAGGGAACTGAGAACAAATGATTTAGCGACAAGACCAAGTATGCACCCTCTGTTTTAGGCCTGGGGTGTGTGGAAATCTGAGCTTTTTTATTAGCAAGGCCTAAACATTACAAAAGGAACTCACTTGAGCAGCCATCTGAACTGAGACCCCAGTATCCAGGGGAGCACTGCTGGCAACGAGAACCGCTGACGCCCGGACCGCAATCACACTGGCCATTCTGGGCATGGCAATTGGGGCTCACCGATCCAATGTCACAGTCGCACCTCTGGCAGCCCAAGCAGGTTTCGTAGCCATAATACCCTTCCTAAAAAGGAAAAAAAAATAGTGTTTTCCCCCCCCAATCCAGATTGTAATACAGAGGTCCCCAACCTTTTGGGCACCAGGGACCGGTTCCGTGGAGAGAAGTTTTTCCGTGGACCGGAGAGGGCATGGTTTTGTGTGCTGCCTGCATCCCACGGATGGGGCTTTGCTTGTTTGAACAGACTGGTTGCTGGCAGGCCGCAGCCCGGTACAGGTCCACGGACTGGGGGTTGGCGACCCCTGTTATAATAGACATAATACTGGCTACGTTTACAGAAGCTGCTCTGCACTCAGATAAAGGCAGTAAGTCATTCTGAAGAATCTCTCCAGGCAAAGGGGATGAAGGGAAGAAAGACGATGTACATTATTAACACAGGATATCATGACCATCTCCATTCAGGACACTGAACTCTAGATCAGGAGTGTCCAACCGTAGCAACTTTAAGGTGGACTTCAATTCCCAGAATTCCCCAGTGAAACATGGTGGCTCGGAAGCTCTGGGAGTTGAAGTCCACAGGTCTTAAAGTTGCCAAGGTTGGACACTGTTGCTATAGATGCTTACTGCAAATTGTAGGACGCTTGAAGGAATAGGGCTAGTATGAGATGATGGTCCTGGGCCATGTTAGGCTGTATCGAGGCACCCACTATGTTATTTCTTCCCTATAAAAGCAGCCCAAGCACCATATCTGTAAGGGATTGAGGTGCTCCTAGCTATTTGTCCAATTCCTCCTCTTTCTTCAAGGAAAAGACAGATTCAGGTTGGATAGAGAACTCACAATCTCCAGCAGCTCGCTGCTTAATTCTACACTCTCACTGCCTACAACTCTGTTGACATACACACTATTGTAAGGGAAGGCAGGATCTAGAAAGAGAGTCCAGAGCAGGAACTCAAGCTAGATGAGAAGAAGCTGAGGTAGAGTCAGATATTACTGTTAGAACATAAAAGCTGGCTGGATGACTTTGGGCCACTCACCAGGAGACTGTGAGTTCTAGTCCCACCTTAAGCATGATTGCCAGTTGGATGATTTTGGGCCAATCACCAGGAGACTGTGAGTTCTAGTCCCACCTTAAGCATGATTGCCAGTTGGATGATTTTGGGCCAATCACCAGGAGACTGTGAGTTCTAGTCCCACCTTAAGCATGATTGCCAGTTGGATGACTCTGGGCCAATCACCAGGAGACTGTGAGTTCTAGTCCCATCTTAAGCATGATTGCCAGTTGGATGACTCTGGGCCAATCACCAGGAGACTGTGAGTTCTAGTCCCACCTTAAGCATGATTGCCAGTTGGATGACTCTGGGCCANGAGACTGTGAGTTCTAGTCCCAGCTTAAGCATGATTGCCAGTTGGATGACTCTGGGCCAATCACCAAGAGACTGTGAGTTCTAGTCCCACCTTAAGCATGATTGCCAGTTGGATGACTCTGGGCCAATCACCAAGAGACTGTAAGTTCTAGTCCCAGCTTAAGCATGATTGCCAGTTGGATGACTCTGGGCCAATCACCAAGAGACTGTGAGTTCTAGTCCCAGCTTAAGCATGATTGCCAGTTGGATGACTTTGGGCCAATCACCAAGAGACTGTGAGTTCTAGTCCCACCTTAAGCATGATTGCCAGTTGGATGACTTTGGGCCAATCACCAAGAGACTGTGAGTTCTAGTCTCAGCTTAAGCATGATTGCCAGTTGGATGACTCTGGGCCAATCACCAGGAGACTGTGAGTTCTAGTCCCAATTTAGGCATGAAAGCCGGCTGGGTGACTTTGGGCCACTCCCACCTCACAGGATTGTTGTGGGGAAAATAAGAGGATGGAGTATTCGATAAGTTTCCCACCCTGAGTTGTTTATAAAAAATAATAAAGATGGGAAATACATAAAATAATAAACAAACACTTCTAAGATGGAAACAGGAGTGCTGAAAACTGGCTGGAGTTGTTGGAAGTCTCTTTTATTTATTATTTATATTTCTTACTTCATAACCGCCTGTCCCTCTCGGTCATACTTTTATCTGTTTTTTTTAATCATGATAAAGAATGCCATTCCTTCCTCACACTCCTGTTACCTCATTCAATAAAGTGATCTTTTTGATTCAATTATTGGATAGGGTTTTTTCCCCCTACTCAGTTGATTGAAGCCGTATTTCACCCCATTTAAGGGTGAAAATGTCTGCCATTCCGCACCCACCCACCCACCCATCATTCTGGTTTGGCTGGGCAAGAGAGAAAACACAATTACAGGGGGAGGCCTGGCGTATTTGATGTTTATTATATGCAAACACAGAAGCTGAAATCAACAGTGTGTATTAACAGAGCCTATCAGCAAAAGAATCGCAACAAACCATGATGCCTGAGGGATTCACCTCACAGATGCGGCACAGAGAATTTAAGAATCAGGGAGTAACGGTCTATTTTACCTGACAGCGATCACAGTGCTGACCTGTCACCCCAGGCTTACATCGACACTGGCCAGTTTTAGGATCACACGAGTCCGTCCCACAGGATAGACAGTTGCACTCTACAAGGAGACAAAGACTTTAAAAAGATTTCATGGATTCTATTTCTAATGAACTACAAAAAATTGACCAGTGGATTTACACCTTAGCTTCAGCAATATAGGTAAACCTCAACTCATGACCACAATTGAGCCCAAAATTAGCTGTTCAGTGAGTTTTGCCCCATTTTATGACCTTTTTGCCACAGTTGTTAAGCGAAATACTGCAGTTGTTAAGCGAAACATGCGGTCATTAAGCGAATCTGGCTTCCTTCAATGACTTTTTGCTTGTTGGAAGCCAGCTGGGAAGATCACAAACAGTGATTCAGGACCCACGGAAGTGCAACGGTCATAAAATGCCTGCCAGTTGCCAAGTGCCCGAATTTTGATCACATGACCATAGGGATCCGGCATGGTCATAAGTGTGAAAAATGGTCATAAGTCACTTTTTTCAGCGCCATTGTAACTTGGAATGGTTACTGAATGGTTGTAAGTCGAGGACTACCTGTATTTTCTAC